GAGGCAATTCATGTCCGGTTCCTTGGAAGGGCCCTTAAACAGTGATAGCCTGAGAGAGCTGACTGAAGGAAACCCTTAATGTTTATCGTAAAGTTTTCGGGTGTGTGGGATGATCATTAGACTGCCCATTGACGCCAAGCAACACTGCGAACATTCTACAAATCCGGAGTCGAAACGCTTCCTCCTGCGTAGAGAACATAGAGGGAGAACATGAATGACGTGAAGTGTATCAATGATATCTCTGCTGTGGTTCATAAACGAAGGCTATGGTCTCTGCCTATTTGTATGGGCAACCCTTTTATCCTTTCTTCTGGCAGAGGCATGATGATCTCCCGTCAAGTAAAAGGTCGAGGGAAGGCTATCCTTATAACCCTTCACTCTGCGGCCTTGGGGCAGGGAAGCACTTCGCAATGCTCTTTCCATGGCTGCGCACCTTTCGTTTCCTTCAATTGTCAGTATCTTTGCCGAGATATTACCCAAAAAAATAGAAATGTTGCCGCTTGATCCATCTAGGCAATTTGCACGATCAAAACCTAGCAAATGACGAGCACGCTCATCGTGCATTCATATCTTGCTCCCTGTCATCGTTGAGAATCTAAGGGTTAGGACCGCTAACCCTTACCCTCGTAGACGCCAGTTGATCCGTTGAGAGTCTCTACTAGCTTATTGCATCAAAACTCCTATTCTCCAACCCCAGGCCTTTGCATTTTCTCCTGCACACCAGACAGAGCAATGACTTCTAAAATAACGGTGAAGAAAAGGTGGCAGTTGTCCAGATACGTTGACGCAGTCGTATCGGCCGGTGGGGGAAACGCTGTGGCTGCTACATCCCAAATCACTGGCATTGTTTGGGATGGGTGTGTACACGGATTAATGGGAGCTGGACAAATAGAAGCCGAGATAGAAGTGGAAACCGGAATTGCGGATCTCTGCTGCTTGGACGAAGGCCAGTTTATCGCGGGAGCTGACGACGGCTCTGTACGTGTCGTTCACAGCGGTGGCGTTCTGCCTCTTCCGGGCGGACACAACTCAAACGTTAATAGCGTCGCCGTTAGTTCTTCAAAGAAACTTGTAGCATCAGGTGGACAGGACAAAGCTGTGTTATGCTGGAACCTAAACGAACCTTCCAACGAGCCGATGCGCTTTGAGGGCCATATTGACTCTGTGAATTCAGTTGATTGGAATACTACAGGCGACAACTTGCTGACTGCCAGTTCTGATGGCATGGCATGTGTATGGGATGAGAGGCAGAACCACTGGCAAGCGGCGATAACCATTCCAACCGGCCTGGATGTCTACTCTGCTGTGTTTGCCGCTTCAGGCACTACAATGGTCATGTCGACTGAAATGATGGACGTAGTTGCATTTGATCTTCGTGCCGAGACCAAGGCCTTATGGCGAAAGGGTGGGTATACAGGTGCTTCTCACTGCCTTCGCGCATCACCCCACAACGAAAAGATCGTTGCAGTTGCTTCAAACTGCCCCGCTGTCACATTGCTCGACGTTTCCAATGGAAACGTGCTGGGAAAAAGCTTTCATCATACCGACTACGTAAGAAGTGTGGCCTGGGACTCGCAAGCAGAAGGGCGGCTATTCAGTGGCTCATGGGACAAGAGTGTTGCTGAGCTTAATGTATCTCTGTAATTTTGTCAAACACCCCTTTTATCCCCCCAAAGTTCAACATGTACCCGGTGAGTGTACTGGAATCCGTGCTCTATGCAAACATCAACCAGCCATCTCCCTCGTTTTCGTATGGTCTCAGAGTTCTGGATATCGTGAGTTAAAATGGAAGTCGAACGGAAGAAAGGAGGATATAGATATAGTCAGTGATCAATTGTGTTCGAAATATTCTGGACCGAGAAAAACGCACCGTTCCTTGTGGCATCAGGTATACACGGTTGGGATGCACCCCCAACTTTTGCACTATGTCATTGATTTCATCGAGGTCTGACGGACCGTCTACGACAAACTTGAGAACTGATGACCGAAATCGCATGCACTGTTGCAGTACTTGAAAGTTTAGCCTGGTCTCGTTCCGCATCAGCGAGTTTGAAAGCTTGGGACTAACATTTAAGTGCACTGCAGCAGGAAGTCCATCTGGACTTACAGTCCCATTGGTTTCGAACTCAATTTCATAACCTTCTCTAATAAAACGCGGCAGCAAATGCAAAAGCGGCTTCTTGTGTAACAAAGGTTCACCTCCAGTTATCACGATTGCCTTCACTCCATCGGCCAGATTTGTTAATTCATCAAAAGCATCCGCTACTGGTAATCTTCGCAGCTCATCGTGCTTCTTGAAAGTAGTGTTAAAAGGTGTACTTTTCCCGTGCTCCGCGGCCCGTTTATTCACTTCGTTAAGCTTATCTTGAGAGAACAACCATGTGTATGGAGTGTCACACCAAGCGCAGCTCAGATTACACACGCCGAGTCTTAAAAATACAGAAGGTCTGCCGGTGTTTGGACCTTCGCCCTGTACAGACCGAAACATTTCTGAAACGAGCAACGACGGGGACTTTAACTCTTTCCTGACACGAGTGGAAGTCCTGGTATTGGCTATCTCACAGAAGGGGCGAGGCTTTGAGCCCAAGAACGGAAAATTTGCTGCATGTCTCAAACGCCTAAGCGCGATGTGGGAATAAGCAATAGGCATAAGACGTGGATTGCGTAAACCGGGCAAGCTCAAAGTTCTACGCACGAGGTTGTAGGCACATTCGTTTTTCTCGTCACTTTGGAACCGCTTTGCTCCGCATGGTATGACCCCGATGTTGGTTTGAGGTGTAGGGCAGCAACAGGTGTAGAGTTCTATGGACGCGGAACAAGTTGCCTTCGGTACAGAGAAGTTCTCCAATAGTATATGGAGTGCGTATGTTGATTTTCAAGGAGATCCTTGAGAATTCTCATGAGAATGTGTATCACTGTAACTTCCGATTTTTGATTCTCGAGTTTGAGAGCACAATGCAGAATTAACTAACCGATCTACGAGGGCAAACGGTACCAAAAACCAAAAAAGTGATTCAATACAATGATCAGAATTCATTAGTGCTGAACGATGGCAATCCTATGTTCACCACAACTGTGCATCCAAAGTATAAGCTCAAGTCGAAATCTTTGGCTCGGGGTGTATCTTCGTTTAGTGCCAAGATATCGCACCACGGAAATCATTCAGCATATCCTTCACAGAGCATTAGGATCTGGAGTAGAATACAACTTCACTATGGCTCGCACATTCCGTTCTACAGCCACTCTATCGCGGAGATTGATTTCAGCCGCGGAAAAGCGCTCCCTGTTTCGAGTATCGGCTACAATTGCACAACCGCGAACAGCATCACGGATACCTGCGACCCATCTTCTTCTGTATGCATCATCAGCAGCTACTGTGTACACTCTCACTGCTAACGCTCGAGCATTTGCTGAGTATTCCAGTTTAGCAGCCCCTTCAATGTCTCCCGGTTTGCCTGATATCACGCTTTACCAGTACGAAGTCTGCCCATTCTGCAATAAGGTTCGAGCGTACCTTGATTATCATAAGATTCCATACAAAGTTGTGGAAGTTGATCCCCTTCGGAAAACTGAACTACAGGAGTTCCCGGAAGACTATAGGAAAGTTCCAATTGCTGTGGTTAATGGACAGCAGGTGAATGGATCGGACAATGTTATCGACTATGTTCATCATCTTACGAAAGGAAAGGAAACTCCAGTATCAGCTGAAGAAAAGAAATGGTTGAAATGGCTGGAGGATTACTTCATACACTTGATCGCACCAAACATATATCGCACACCAGGTGAATCACTGCAAACGTTCGAGTACATAGCTGATAATTCGAAGTTCTCAACGTGGCAACGCTCTACGATTCGCTACACGGGTGCCGCCGCAATGTACTTTGTTGGTCGGAAGATTAAGAAGAAGTACAATATTGAAGATGAACGTGAAGCCATTCACAATGCTTTACGAGACTGGACAGACGCGATCGAACAAGCTGGGACGCCATTCTTGGCCGGATCGGAACCAGGTGTAGCAGACCTTTCTATATTTGGTGTGCTCAAGGCCATACGAACGTTCAACACGTTTGGAGAGGTTCGGGAAATGAATCATGCGTTGGCAGACTGGTATGATCGTACAAGTAAAGCGGTTGGAGATCCGTGTGTTACAGATCGCCAATAACAGGATAATGCTCTGAGGTGGAACAAAAGAAAGACAAGATTTGAATCAGATACGTTCGATTCGATGTGTGACTCACCTTGTTGCAGTGGTCATCATCGTTATGGTATCCCCTTTCAGTAAAATTCGTCCCAGCTTTTGTCTCGAATCGCGCTTCTGATGCACTTCGACGGCATCATCGAGGACCAAGTTCATGTATTCATCAAAGCCCTATTAAGCATTACAATACGTTGCAAATCAAATTCACCGTGTTAGTCTGTGTTGTAATATGACAGTTCATCGCGAAAGCAGTGAACGTACGATGATACAGCCTTGTATTCGAATATCTGTGTTATCATACAGCCAGATCTCGATGAGCGTTCGATTCTGTAAGAACCTGAAAATCAGGTTCTAAGCGTTTGCATACATGAGAGCGGAATCCAGTCACAAGTCAGTATAGGTTAGTTAGATTGCAATGTCAAAGAGAAAACAAGCATCTCGGTAAGTGTTGCAGGAAACATACGATAGGCTGGACCATGATTTTCTTCGACCGTGACGACATGTTTGATAGAATGAGTTCTGAGCCCGAACAGCGGTGGTATTACGAACAACGCAGCTTTGAGAGAAATATCGCAGTTGTATTGTATGGTCTCCGCGTAATATGGATATCCTCAGCAAAGAGCGATGACTTAACCTCTTCAGAGATACGTTAAAGTAAGCGCGAGCGAATTGATATGATGAAGGCAAACCAACAGCGTACCATTCATTTGTCTTTTGGGATCTATGGTCCGCTACTGAATGTTACAATTTATGCAACTTGGTTTAATACATTGCTAAAATCGAAACCTGTAACGAAATGTCGTCCTCTATGGTCTAGTGGTTAGGATTTCTGACTCTCACTCAGGAGGCCGGGGTTCAATTCCCCGTGGAGGAACTGATAATCGCTGCACGATTTGCACGTTTTGTTTTGCTACGGCACGGTCTGCGCAGTGGTCTTAATGGCGTTCCTTCGCTCAAAAATTGGGCATGACCTAGATATCGCTCTCTCTCTCTGTTTACGAACGAGTAACATCAATTCTATGTTAGCCCGGGGTTTGCTAAGGACTACATATCGCTACGAATGCTCACACCGACAACGACGTCGCTTAACCTGGAACTCAGGATGCTCGTCGGGATCCCTCAGACTTTCGCTCTCATACTAAGTTGTTGATGTTAGTAAGGCTATTGCCACTATTACAGAAAGCTCCCTGATCGCGAAATGTCCAACAATTTAGCACAACATTATGCAGATCCGTTCTTAACTGAAGCGGATTCCCCGAAGAGCATTCAGAGAAAACAGCACCGCTCTTATGCAAACAATCCTCGCTCACACGTACGAAACCGTTCATTCCGCACAACACCTGCCTACATGGATAACGTTCCGATCAATGCGCGTAAACGCATCCCAAGTAGCGGTAGCATGTTCTCTTAGTGACCCTGGTCAGCTGTATCGCAGATCAGTGACCTGCGGAATCCATGAAGAAGCTCACTCACCCACCCAACAGAGGAACTCTTCCATTCTTGAAAACAAATACAAATACAAAAAGGATGCACAAAAGTATCGTGTACAATGAACAAAAAAGAAGACGTTTGCAAGTTGTTCTCGTATAACTATCCTGTATGAAACCGTATTTATATAACTGTGTGTGAGGTACTAGAGCCATGAAACTTTCCCATATGAAGCAGATTTGCGAGAACTTCTCGAAGGACTCCCAGACCTACGAGTGCGCACGTCGCGGCATGTCACGACCGTGAGCGCTTCTTCCACGCCGTTCTGGTGTGCTGTGTTCACTTATTGATCCATCTGATGATTCACGCCCTTGCTCTTCGTCATACAAGCTAGAGAAAGAGCTATAGGATGATGATGAGGCTGAGCGACTCAGCAACGATGAAGAGGAGTCCATTTCAAATTCCGAGCTCTCACTCAGAATGATACGGGTTCCTCCTGGGTCATACTGATCTATACGATTGTTGCTGGCGTTCCGCCGGAGCCGTTTCCGAACGACTGGCTTACGACGCTTCCACCAGTTGCTTCTCCCAGACCAGAACAAGCTTTTGACTCGTTCCCATGTCATCAATCTGCGACGCTTCGCTCCAACTTCAGCTTTTTCATGTGCATGCGCGAGACAAAAGCTTTCAAGATACTCACACTGTCGCGTGCAGTATGCTACGGTGTAGAAATAGTTCACAATAGAAGACATAATCAACAGAATACTTCCTATCCCCGACAAAGCCGACGTAAGTGAAAGCTGAAATGAGCTTGTTGTTTTTTCCCCTCCAATTCCCGGTAGCATCAACACACTCGCAACGCTTAACGTCGCACTGGCAAGAATATTCTGAAAACCAACTAAGATTCGCGTGCATTCTAACCTTTGTGCTTTCTTGTTAACCGGAATGTTGTTCGCTCCGGACCCGATCAAGAACAGGGCAAAAGATGATGCAAACTGCCGCCGACAGATGTTCGAAGAACCTTCAGAGTCTCGCGCAATCCCAATGATGCTCGCATTCAGTAATGATACGCTGCCAAGGGTCAATGCAAAGGCGGATAAGAGTTGCATGTGCCCTCCAGCACTTCCAGAGTCATTCCAAGTGGTCAAACCAAGCGATGTAACTGCATCTTCTTCTCTCGGTTCTGTTTGAAACAAAGCCCGGATGCAGTGGTTAAGGTCTCGTCCGTTCGCAAGTGTCAGAAACAAACTTGCGATCAGGACAAACTTCCATTCGTGCGGGGCGGCGTACGGAACCAAACCAGTTTGCGCGAGGATTCCTATAGAGAAACATACGGCTATCGGAAAGTGTAACCTTGCTAACATAATCTCAGAAGCAACAAACCAGTCAAGCGATTTCTTATTGTCTATAATCTCAAAGCAGCTTCTGAGAAATCGTACCATGCTTCTGCAGCATGATCAGCATTAGGTGCACGTGCGACAGGCGGAATGAAAGGTGGCGGTAGAAGAAAATGAGTGATGGGTGCAAAGAGAAATGCTGGGTCTAGTTTGAAGGAACACACAAGGAACCCAGTGTTCATCGATGAACACTTCTGCGAAGCAACTGCTTTCAGCAATTCGCTTCACAGACAGTGCTTGAGGCTCAAAGCGATCTGACGATGGGAGCGAAACCGACACGAGCAGCTTAGCCGAAGCAACACCTCGATGCCGTTGCTGACCAACTCTGAAGGTTGCAGGCGGACTTTGGGATCAGACAAGAGCACGGTTCGCGACTGTTGTGGAACCGCTTCCAGTGTAGGGCATCGTGACAGAATGAATGATATATAATTCGAAAGAGACTGCTGTCTATCTACAGAAAAGTGTTGTGAGTGAGATGCGACGTTGTCCCAAAATTAAGCGCGAACACATCAATGAGGCTCTGACTGGACATATGCTTCCGGCGGCCGTTGGAATAATGACTGCATCTCGTGCGGATTGCACACAGCTCACCTTCTCATCACTGGCCTTTTTGGTGCTGGCACAGGTTGTTTCTTGACTTCTTCGGCGGTCGACGCAACGATGGCCCCTTGGTGATGAGAGTTTATTGAACAATGTGTGCAAAATATAAGCAATGTGGTAGACAGCTTGACAAGGAAGAAGGGATGCCTGTAGATGTGGAGTTACACCTTTTCGTACACCCGAAACAGGATGAGGTGCGAAAGCTCGTAGAAAAGATGGGCGCTACGAGCATACTCACTCAGATTCAGTTTGAACACAATACCCAGCAATACTCTCGCGAACGGCATCCCCAAGTCCCCCTTCCTCAAGATTGTAACCTCCCTCTAGTCCGAAAATGACTTTGGTGTTTTCACCAGCTCTTTCAAAGATGAGCTGTGTAAATAAGCGGTAATCCTCAGGACGAAACATGAGACCTGCAAGTGGGTCAACATCAAGTGCATCAAATCCCGCACTAACTATTATCAACTCAGGGTCATCTTCCATGACAAAGTCGAGCATACGTTCAAACTCATCGCGATAAGTGTCGATATCAGTGCCGGGTGGGAGGGTAACGTTGAGCACGTTCTCGTACTTGCCAGATACGCCGCCTTCACCCGAGCCAGGATACAGCGGCCACTGGTGGCTGGATGCGAAACGAATGTTCTTTTCGTTCTTAACAGAAGCCTCAGTTCCATTACCATGATGCACATCGTAGTCCAAGATTGCAACATTGTTGACGTTATCCTTGGTAAGAGCATACTTTGCCGCGATCGCAGCGTTGGATAAAAGACAAAAACCCATACCAGATGCTGGGGTAGCGTGATGACCAGGCGGCCTAGCAAGCGCCCATGCTGTACGTTGTTCACATGCCAAGTCAACAGCTTGCATCCACGCACTAACCGCAAGTAAAGCGACTTCAAAGCTTTGCTTAGAGACGTATGTATCCGGGTCTAAACCACTCCCTGCTTTGCATACCTGCTGCAGCTCATCCAGATAGCCCTCGAATCGATGCACAGAGCGAACCGCTTCCATGACGTTCTTGCGACGTTCAGAATCGCCGGGAACCTGTTCCGGTTCCAGCCAGTCGAGTAGCGGCGACAGCTGGTCGTTCTCCTTGAGGGCGGTAACGCACGCGTCAAGCCGCTCTGGGCATTCCGGATGCACTCGTTTGGGACGATGATCCTTGAAGACCGGTGAGTATATCACCGGCATACGACGTTCCGCAGAGCGTTCTGCAGACATGTTGCCGCCGCGCTTGAGGCTGGAGCGCTTCTGCGGGGAAGAATGAGATGTGGCAAAATTGCGGAAGGGAAGGGCAGCGAGGAAGGCGAGGCGCGTCGTGCAGGATGCATTGGGCGGCATTTGAAGCGTCACGGCCAGCTGGCTCTCGAACTCGACCCTGGGGGACGTGACCGCTGTGCCCACGGGCAGAGGCCCAAAATACAGTGTCGAACAGTAGTGTAGCCATGAGGCGCTGCACACAGACACGACCCTTCGCAGCCGATGAGCGTCACACTGGCACCTCCTGCACTTTGCGCCCTGCGTCGGCTCTCGGGTCGGACTTTTCGAAGCTTGTCACACAAGCATGCCTCGCCTCTGTCCCTGGCAACTGGTTTCTTAAACTAGCAAAGCCATTCCGTCGACTGCACATGCACCAATGGGCGTCTTCATCGTCACGTTTACGCAACACGCTAAGGTACCTTTTGGTACGTTCGGTGCGCAGGGAGAAGTTGAAACTGTTCGATGGGTAACTGGACGGCTACCACTGGAAGAAACAATCATGTTTACATGAAACGTGAAGACATGAAACGAAATGTTCATCATACAGCTCTTCCAATACCAAAGTGAATACTTGTATGCAAAGGATGAATACATTTGGGGGCGGGGGCTGAGGTTGGCGGCCCGGTGTACGTTCGTACAGTTAAACCAGGACTAAAGACGTGCGGTGCTAGCTGGAGAGATGTTGTGACTCGCAGACGGTCGCCGTGTGCTCTACGAGGGTGGTGAATTGCGGCGATAGGGTAATGATGGACGCACAAGCATTGTGGGCGGCGACTGAATGTGAAAGCGGCCAAGTGTGCAACAACGAGTGATGGCATCTGGACGCAAGGAAGAGTACAAAACAAGTGCGCTTGAAAGCTGCAGGGGTCACGCGACGGCTTTCCGAAGCAAGCGCGTGTGCGTCGCAGCGTGGCTTTGGACGCGCACGTTCGAAGTGTTGAGCTTGCAGCATTCGGGTGGATGATTGGTTGGTGCGGGCGAACGTATGCAGGTGTCTTGCGTGGGGAAAAGGCTGTGTTCGCGGACGGATCAAGTCGCTCATCCATTGTTGGCTGCGCCGTTTCTCGCCTCGACGGCGGGTTCGACGCGGCACGTGGATTAACGCCTTATGGCGGCGGTGAGAGAAGTGCGGTTTTCGGTGTCTTTTTGTACGAGCTGATTTACAAGCGCGAGTGTGGAAGAGTTACAA